GAACAATACCTGGGCCCATAGTGCTCAATAAATAAATGTTGAGTGACTAAAGTAGCTCAGGTGACATTTCAGATCACTCGTGATGACCTATAACAGAGGCAAGCACATAGTGCCATGGAGCCATGGATTTTCCCAAGGAATAGCATGGAGGGGACAAGGATAAAAGCTGTCACTATAGTCCAGACAAAGTGGTGTAGAAAATATGTGATAGAATGGCATGGAACTACACACATACATTGTACCAATGTCAATTTCCTGGTTTTGGCTGGGCGTGGTGGCTCACACCTGTAATCCTAGCACTCTGAGAGGCTGAGGTGGGCGGATTGCTCAAGGTCAGAAGTTCAAAACCAGCCTGAGCAAGAGCGAGACCCTGTCTCTATTATAAATAGAAAGAAATTAATTGGCCAACTAATATATATAGAAAAAATTAGCCAGGCATGGTGGCGCATGCATGTAGTCCCAGCTACTCGGGAGGCTGAGGCAGGAGGATTGCTTGAGCCCAACAGTTTGAGGTTGCTGAGAGCTAGGTTGACGCCACGGCACTCACTCTAGTTTGGGCAACAAAGCAAGACTCTGTAGACATAATTATCAAAATCAGGAAATTAACATTGACCATTGTCCTTATAGAAAAAAATACCCATTGCAAGCTCCAGCTCAGGATCCCATGTTGCACTTAGTTGTCATTGTCTTTTTTGTTCGTTTTTAGAGATGAGGTCTGGCTTTGTTGTCCAGGCTGTAGTACAGTGGCACAACTGTAGGTCCCTGCAGCCTCAAACTCCTGGGCTCAAGCGATCCTCCTGCCTCAGCCTCCCGAGTAGCTGGGACTACAGGCATGCGCCACCATGCCCGGCTGACTTTTTCTATATATGTTAGTTGGCCAATTAATTTCTTTCTATTTATAATAGAGACAGGGTCTCGCTCTTGCTCAGGCTGGTTTTGAACTTCTGACCTTGAGCAATCCGCCCACCTCAGCCTCTCAGAGTGCTAGGATTACAGGTGTGAGCCACCACGCCCAGCCAAAACCAGGAAATTGACATTGGTACAATGTATGTGTGTAGTTCCATGCCATTCTATCACATATTTTCTACACCACTTTGTCTGGACTATAGTGACAGCTTTTATCCTTGTCCCCTCCATGCTATTCCTTGGGAAAATCCATGGCTCCATGGCACTATGTGCTTGCCTCTGTTATAGGTCATCACGAGTGATCTGAAATGTCACCTGAGCTACTTTAGTCACTCAACATTTATTTATTGAGCACTATGGGCCCAGGTATTGTTCTGGGCTATGGGATTGCAGCAGTAAGTAAAAGAGAAGTCCCCAGTGTTACACAGTTTACATTCTAGTTAGGGAGACGGTAAGTAAATGTAACAATGTATGTCAGGTGGTGATAAAATAAGGCAGGGGAAGGGAGTAGAGGATGACTGGGGCCTACTTCAGTAGTGGCTAGAGCAGTTGCCATTTGAACAGAGACTGAAGGAAGTGAGGGAGGTAGCTGCATTCTGGGGGAGGAACCCTCCAAGGAGGAGTAGCACCTGCAGACAAGTTGGGGCAGGTGTGGGAAATGAGGCCAGTGGGGAAGCTTTGGTCTTCTGATTTTAAGATTCTTTTTAAGCACTGAAGAAGACAAGAAAAGCTTTGTTTTTCTCTGCTGCACCCCTTTTGATAAAAGGATTTGTTCTGCAAAATTTGGATTTAGTCAAAAGACTGCACTTAAGGACTCAGGCAGCATTTTGCCATAAGGCCACAGGTTCCCCACTCCTGACAGAGGTGGGAGAGGAGGTTAAAAGAGGTGGCAGGGGGTACCAGTTTTGTCAAACCTTTATAGGACAAAGTAAGCCCTTGTTTTTTTAATTTTTTATTGTGATAAAATATACATAACAAAAATTACCATTTTAACTTTTTAACTGTACAGTTTTGTGGCATTAAGTATATATATATATGTATATATATATACATATATATATATTTTTTTTTTTGAGTCAGAGTCTCACTCTGTTGCCTGGGCTAGAGTGCCATGGCGTCAGCCTAGCTCACAGCAACCTCCAACTCCTGGGCTCAGGCGATTCTTCTGCCTCAGCCTCCCGAGTAGCTGGGACTATAGGCATGCACCACCATGCCTGGCTAATTTTTTGTATATATATTTTTAGTTGGCCAATTAATTTCTTTCTATTTATAGTAGAGATGGGGTCTCGCTCTTGCTCAGGCTGGTTTTGAACTCCTGACCTCGAGCAATCCGCCCACCTCGGCCTCCCAGAGTGCTAGGATTACAGGCGTGAGCCACTGACTCTGGCCTGGCATTAAGTATATTCACATTGTTGTATAACTACCACCCATCACCACCATCCATCTCTAGAACTTTTTTCCCCCTGAAACTCCGTACCCATTAACTCCTCATCCTCACTTCCTCAAAGTACCTGGTAACTAGGGCATTTGATTTTTTTTATTCTGAGTAAGATGGAAAGACACTGGAGGGTTCTGAGTGAAGGCATGGCATTGCTTACAATATTGTAATAATATAATAGTAAGAATGAGATTTATATATGTTATTTCATTTCACATCTACAGCAACCCTATGAATGATAGTGATTGCATGTGGTTTTATAGCATTTTTTATGTCCCATGTCACACTGTTTTTAGTACCTGGCATACATTAGCTCACTTATTCCTCATACCAACCCTATGTGGTAATGACTCCTAATCTTCATTTGACATATGAAGGAAATTTAGGTGCGAAGAGATGAAATAACTTATCTACATTCATAGTTTGTAAGTGGTGAGGTCAGGCTACCTGGCTCTTAACCACAGCGTTTTACTTCCTTTCTATGAAGTATTCTTATAGAGCACAATGAGGGTAAGCAATATGCTCACACACAGTGGGGGGAAAGTGGCAAGAGCTGAGGTTCAAATCCAGGTCTGTGTGCCCCTACTGCTTTCCTAACTCTTTCTGAAATTCAGCCCCTCAGCATTGCCTCTAGGCTTCCAATCCAGCTCCAAGTACCCAGCTGTGCCTCACCTCTGTGCCTTTGCTCTTACAATTCCCTTTGCCTGGGATGCCTTATCTGGTCCAGGATCATCGCTGGGAAGCCTTTGTCGATGCTCTAAAACTAGTGTAATGGCCTTTCCACTTTGCTCCCATAGTCTATTGGACTATACACTATTAGCATTTATTCAGTTATTCATGGCCAGGGTCCACTCAGTGACCATGCTAGTTAAATATTCTTTAATTTAAAAACTTTTAAGACCTTTTTACTTTGAAATTTTATACTTAAGTTACAAAATAATCCAAAGCATTCTTGTATATGTCTCACCTAGATTTCCCAAATGTTAATATTTTAACATGCTTACATAAATATCTTTTCTCTAGATACATATATACTTTTTATTTATATATTATTATATTTAAATATAAGTTAATTAAATATTTAATATATAAATTTTGTGTGAACCTTTTGATAGTAGGTTGTAGACATGATATCTCTTTACCCCTAAATACTTCAGTGTGTCAGTGAACATTTTCTATAAACAGGATATCTTTTACATATCTAAGACATAATTATCAAAATCAGGAAATTAACATTGACCATTGTCCTTATAGAAAAAAATACCCATTGCAAGCTCCAGCTCAGGATCCCATGTTGCATTTAGTTGTCATGTCTTTTTTGTTCGTTTTTAGAGATGAGGTCTGGCTTTGTTGTCCAGGCTGTAGTACAGTGGCACAACTGTAGGTCCCTGCAGCCTCAGACTCCAGGGCTCAAGCGATCCTTCTCCCTCAGCCTCCTGAGTAGCTGGGACTACAGGTGTGTGCCACTGTGCCTGGATAACTTTTTATTTTGTTTTGTTTTTGTAGAGACAGGGTCTCACTATGTTGCTCAGGCTGGTCTTGAATTCCTGGCCTCAAGTGATGCTCAGCCTACCAAAGTGTCGGGGTTACAGGAGTGAGCTTCTGCGCCCAGCCTTTGACATTTTTGAAGCATATGGACCAGCTATTTTGTAGAATGTCCCTCAGTTCGAGTTTGTTGGATATTTCCTCATGATTAGATTCAGGTTGTGATGCATTTCTGATGGGAATTTTACAGAAGTGATGCTGTGTCTTCAGCGTGTCCCCTCATGAGATAATGATACCCAGCCAGTTAAGTGTTTCTTGGTGCCCTCCCTGCTGCCCATCTCCCCGGTAGGCTGTAAGTTCCTGAAGGACCCTAGCCCACCTTGATTTTCTCCAGCTCTCCTCATAACCTGCCCCCAAATCTCTTTGTAGCTTCTTTGGTTTCTATGATGCAAATGAGACGGTCTTGGAGATGGAGGAGCAACTGGTGAGCACCCTGGGATTACCCCCCCTCTTTACTCACTGTCCCAGCCCATTCTGGAGCCTTCCCTGCCAATGACTCTTGAGCTGAAGGGTTCACCCTGTGGGGAGGAGGCCCAGGACACCAGCAGGAACTCACATTATCTCTCCTTGTGTCTTTCTTACATGCTCCCGTGCCCCTTCGCCCACCTTGAAGGTTTATCTGCGTGATTCTTTTGGGCTGAAGACTCTCTTGGCCCGGGGGGCCATAGTGAGGTGTCCGATGCCCGGGATCCCCCACACAGCCTGGCATTCCAACCGCACCCTTTATGAGACCTGCATTGAACCTTGGCTCTCCTGAGGATGTCCACAGAGTCCCCAGGACCTCCCCCGCCCAGAAACCAAGTGGTGGCCTTGGAAAGCAGATGTCAGGCTCTGGCGTGCCTATGACCACCTCATTGCTCCCACACTGACCCCATCTGCCAGAGCTCCCAGAACCCCCTCTTCTGTTCCTCCGTGAATGAAAAGTTCCGGTCTCCCCTACCTCATGTCCTCTTACTTGGAGGGCTGCTCCATGCTCTCCCTTTCTCCCAAGGCTGAAGTTGGGATGTGAGAAACCAGGGTTTTAACTTGTGGCTGCTGCTGCTGCTCTGTGTCTGGCTGGACAGGAGGAGAACCAGCCCCGCCCACCACAGGGGTCTTCCAGGCCACTCAGGACATTTTTAGCTTCCATCTTCCCCATGTTCCCTTTTTCTCTGAACTCCTCTGTCATCAGCCCTCCCAACCCCCAAGAGGGACTACCCATGAGTGGGGTTCTGAGGCTCCCCCATGGGGACAGTTCCATTCTCAAAGTGTCAGTGTTGGGGAATATCTGTGGCCTGTGAGGCCCATCTCAGGTTTGGGGATCCCCCAGTCCCTATGATCAGTGTTGGGGTAACCCCTGGGAGCCTAGTTTCTTTGAGGCTCCAGTCCTTCTTTTAACTACCCTTGAAGGGGTGTTGCTCCTGTATTTATGGAAATAAAGTTCCATTTCCTCAGTGTGGCTTGGCTCATTTCCAGGTGAAGGGGACCTGGCTCCCCAAGGAGGGTGGGGATGGAGAGCTTGAGGCCCGGGTGCCCGGATGCCTGGACTGGGGTGGGGACCCCCTTGGTGTTTCCGTTCTCTCTCAATGCCCATTCTGTGTGGGATCCTGATTCTCTGTGGGTTCTTTCCTGCTGAAGACAATTCTCTTCCTGTCATAGCCTAAGACTGGGGGGCTGAGCCCGGGGCTCCAGAAGTTTGGTCCTCAGCCTCATGGATGGAATGTGCCTGCCACCCCCAGGCTAGACAAGGGGCCTGAGGGTCAGGGTGGGCATTTGAGCTTTGTGGGCCAGAGCTGGGTGAGGGGCTGGACAATGAGCCTCCTCTTTTTTGAAAGAAGGAATTTTGGCTGAGACAATAGGGCCCTGTCTGTTCTGGCATGGGGGGTGGTAGCTGACTCAACTCTGCTCCCCCCTAAGCCCTAACAAATGTCATCAAGGGATGGGGGCAGTTTTCCCTTTGGTGCCCTGGGCTGCCGCCCTGCCCTTTTGTGACGACTTGCCCTTCTTTCTCTCCTCAGCTGATCTTGCCTTTTCTCCAGGACCTGACCTGCTTTTTGCCTGCCAGCTCTTGTCTCTCCCACCCCCTAAGTCTCCCTCAGTCTGTGTTGGGTTGAAGGTGGGGACAAGGGCCACGGGTACTGGTGGTGTTATAAAACCAGTAGCCTCTCCTGATTTGGGGAGTTCAGAAATAGGGGGTCTCAGAGGGTTGGGAAGAAACTTCTAGGAAAGCCTTTGTGGGGTGGGGATGAGGGTGGTGGGATTTGACCCCACAGAACTGACCAGGCTGGAGCCAAGGAGGAGGCTTGTGGGAGGGGGCAGGGATGGGAGGACTCTGTCTGGCCCAGCCCCTCCTCTCCTTCCCAGCCTGCTCCTGCCACCCACCAGTCTGAGCTGCTGCTGCTGAGGCTGGTCTGCCTGAAGTTTCCCAGGGCAGAAGGGAAACCAGGTGGGAATGGAGGGAGGGAAAGGCAGGTGGGAAGAGAGCGTTGATGGGGAAAGAGTTGGGGTCACTCAGAGCCCCAGGGTGGGTGGGAGTTGGAGGCCTTGTTGGAGTGAGGGATGTGCATCTAGGTGTATGTGATGGTGTGGGTGTGTGAAAGCAGTAGGGATTTGTTTAAGGTGTGGCATTTGTGGAATTTGGTCCAGATGCTTGAGTTTGCATGTAAGGTGTGAGGGTATACAATATTTGGGGGTTTGAAGGTATGAAGATTAAGTTATAAGAGGGCATGTTAAAGATAGGAAGGTCCTGAGGGGAGGGCTGACCATGTGTCTGTCCCTCCAGGTTATGCAGAGAGGATTAGGAGTGGATAGGTAAGAGGGGTGGTGGAGGGCATGTTTTGGGTGTGAGCTTGTACGATGCTGAATGGATCATGATAAGCTACAGGATATGATGGTCTTAGTTAAATGTACACAAAGGTGTAGACAATCCTGGTGGCTAGTGTGTGAAGGTGATTGTCCTGACCCCCTTAGAGGGTACCAGCAGACGGCTCTTGGAGGGGCTGGGGCTGGAGAAGTTAACAAGGAGAGGGGAAGGGCAGCCATTAACCTCTTCTTGCCTGCAGCCCACAGAGTCCAGAGTAAATGAGAATCATGGGGTCCCAGGCTGAGCTGTGCCCTCTCTTAGGCGGACTCTCATTCCTCCTGCTCCTGATGTCAGGCCAAGGGGCCAAGGGTGGATCTCTCAAAGAGAGGTGACAACAGAGGGCGTGGGGCCGGGGTGAGCTCTTCAAGGGAGCCTTTTGCTGGGGGTGGGGGTTCACAGGAACCAAACAACGTTAAAAGTTTCGTTGGTGGGGAGTGACGCTGTCCTCTGCAGGGAAAGCTGATCCTCAGTGGCTCCTTGAGGGAAATGGGACTCCTGGCTTCCCAGGGCCTGGCCCACTCAGTGTCTCCCACCTCCTTCTCTGGCATGGATGCAGTCAGGGGGTCTGTTCCAAGCAGACACTGGTGGTCCCGCTCCGCTACAACGAGTCCTACAGCCAACCGGTGTACAAGCCCTACCTGACCCTGTGTGCTGGAAGGCGCATCTGCAGCACCTACAGGTGAGGGATGGGGAGCTGGGACTCCGGGGTCTCTCAAGAGGGACGCCAAGAACACCAACTAGGACCCATATTTAGGGTCCTGAGAAGGGCGCTGTGTTCCAGGACCACTTACCGTGTGGCGTGGCGGGAGGTGAGGCGGGAGGTGCAGCAGACCCATGCCGTGTGCTGCCAGGGCTGGAAGAAGCGGCACCCGGGGGCGCTCACCTGTGAAGGTGAGGCTGGGTCTTCCAGGCCTTGCGGGAGGCGCGAAGGAGCTGGGGAGCGGGGGCAGTCGGTTTGGGTCTGAGTCCTTCCTCCGCCCGCAGCCATCTGCACCAAGCCTTGCCTGAACGGAGGCGTCTGCGTTCGGCCCGACTGGTGTGAGTGCGCCCCCGGCTGGGGAGGGAAGCACTGTCACGTGGGTGAGTCCGCTCGGGCCCCCCCCCTCCCCCGCGGGGAGCCCGCCCCGCCCCCTCTCTCAGCCCTCTCCTCTTTCCCGTAACTAGACGTGGATGAATGTAGGGCTGGCGTCGCCCTCTGCTCACATCGTTGTCTCAACACGGCGGGCAGCTTCACCTGCAGCTGCCCCCACGGCCTGTTGCTGGGCCCAGACGGGCGCACCTGCACAGCGGGGTCCCCGGAGACGCCAACCGGCGCCAGCATCCTCAGCGTGGCCGGTGAGCAGGCGGGAGTATGGGCCGCAGGGAGGACCCTGGGCCCGAGGCGAGGGCCTGGGCATTCACGTTCTTGCTCTTTTTTGTCCCAGTTCGGGAGGCGGAACTTGACGAGCGCGCACTGAGGCGGGAGATTCGCGAGCTGCGAGGGCGCCTGGAGCGGCTGGAGCGGGTGAGCGGAGGCGCCTGGGGCCAAGCCGGCGGACGGGCGAGGCGAGGCGGGCCGGTTGCAACACCCTGAGGCGTCTCTTCCTTTGTAGTGGGTCGGTCAGGCCGGGGCCTGGGTCAGGGCGGTGCTGCCCATGCCGCCCGAAGAGCTGCAGCCCGAACAGGTGGCTGAGCTGTGGGGCAGGGGCGACAGGATCGAATCTCTCAGCGATCAGGTGCTGCTGCTGGAGGAGAGGCTGGGCACCTGTGAGTCCTCACACTCCCCCAACCTAGACCCCCATCTCCCACCAACTGTCCCCAGCTCTTCCAGAGACCCCTCCCCATTCACCATTCCATGTTTTTCAGAAACCCCTCTCCAATATTCACTCTCTCCATACCTTTCCACCCTTCTCTTCTGGGACCCTGTCCACAGCCTAGTAGTTACCAAACTTATTTATTTATTTTGAGACAGAGTCTCACTCTGTTGCCCAGGCTAGAGTGAGTGCTGTGGCGTCAGCCTGGCTCACAACAACCTCCAACTCCTGGGCTCAAGCAATCCTCCTGCCTCAGCCTCCCGAGTAGCTGGGACTACAGGCATGCGCCACCATGCCTGGCTAATTTTTTCTATATATGTTAGTTGGCCAATTAATTTCTTTCTATTTATAGTAGAGACGGGGTCTCGCTCTTGCTCAGGCTGGTTTTGAACTCCTGACCTCAAGCAATCCGCCTGCCTCCCCCTCCCAGAGTGCTAGGATTACAGGCGTGAGCCACCGCACCTGGCTACCCAACTTATTGTTGGGTGAGACTGGCAGTGTTGTCCACTCTAGGCTGGAGGCGCCTCCACAGACCACAGACACTTTGCCTTCTCATTAAATAGGCTCCTGCGAGGACAACAGCCTGGGCCCTGGCCTCCATCACTGATGAGACTTGCAGTGCTCCTGCCCCCTAATTTATACAGAAACTGGATTCACTAATCCTCTGGGATTGGCCAACTGGGAGCTGCAGATAAGGCTATCAGCCACGAGGAGCAATGAGCAATGGAAACTTCGGAGAGCTGGAGAAAAGGGAAGGCGGGTGGTCTTGACCTACCCCTGAGCTCTCTGGCTGGGGGCAGGTTGCCTGGGCAAGGACTGCTTCTTCAACTCCTTAACAAATGTAATCAGCAAGCACCCAGATCTCTCTCTTTATTTTCAGTTTCTTGCTTTTATCCAGGTAATTAATAAAAACCAATCACACAAAACTCAGTCCCACCCTCTCCTTTTGCTCCCAGCCTACCTCCCTGGATGTGGGAACAGGTCTGGAGTGAGAGGCAGGGAGTGGCTAATGCCACTGGGAAGAAATGAAAATTGGCTCAGAGAGGGGGAAGCCTCAAACAGAAAAAGAAATAAATTAAAAGCCCTCTTATCCCCTCCAGCCAGGGTTCAGTTCTTTTCCCCAGCTCCCTGGGGAGCAGAAGTTGCGTGCAGCACCTGATGTCTGCCTCTTCCCTTTGTGTCTGGTTAGATGGTACAGCGGGGCTGCTGGGAGCTGGGTAGGGCCAAGACCACTGAAGAACTGTACCATGGGGACAGGGAGAAGCAGAAATGTGGAGATCGAACTGGCATCCAGGAGTATGCACGACCCTGTGCATCTGGGCAAGAGCAGGGATCTCTGAGTTAGAAGAGTCCAGCCCCCACTGACAGGAGGCTCCACCGGAAGGGAAGGTGAAGGCGCTGAGGAAAGTTCCCAGGCTGAGCCTGGCAGGGGTGTTCCAGGTATCAGCTTCCAGCCACAGGGTGAGAAGTCCTCCTCACAGACAGATGAGTCCACTGAATCCATGGACTTGGGGTGGGGGAGAATTGTTCCACAGAATGGATGAGCCCACTGGCCAATGTTGGGTGGAGAGGGAGAGACCACAGAGGAAGAGATACTGGGGATGGAGTGGAATGTTCCCCATCTTTATGTAGGCTAAACCACTCACTGGAGATGTGGGGGAGGCAAGTGTCCCACAAACAAGATGGCAGGAGGTAGGGGTCAGAGTGGAGACTGCACTGAGGCACGAGAGTCCACGAGGGGTAGGGGAGGGCAGGAAGGGGCAGGGAGTGGCGCTGAATCCACGTTCACTTCAGAAGTTGAAGATTCCAAAGAGGAGAATTAAGTGAGGAGAGGGGAATCAAGGAAGAGGGCTTGGCCCTGCTCAGGGCCCATTGGGTCGGTAGGTGTGGGAAGGAAGATTGGGACAGATGGGAGGTGATCTCAGAGCTGGGCTTCACCCACCCCCCCAGGCTTCTTCAGATAGTCACCACCACCCCGGCCATCAGTGGAGATTTCCCGGAAAACGGTGAGCATGGAGTGCCGGACTCTGTCAGCCAGAGCTGGGACGTCGTCTGGTGTCAGCCCTTCTGTGGGCACTGGGGGCAGCACCCGCACCTGACATCGCCCTGGGGCAGGGGAGCACCATCATGGCCTGTCCACCCAGGCTTCTGAGCGCAATCCTGCTACTACCCTTCTCAACCTTTCAGTTCTATTCCACCAACCCTGGACAACCACCCTGCTTGCCAGCTGCCACCTATTTTCTGAGGCTCTCCTGTGTAAAGCCCTCCCCAAACCCCAATCCAGACACCCTCCAGCCCTCCTTGTCTGGTTTACTGCCAAGTGTTATTCATTACAGCTTTGCACACACAGGCTGTATCTTTCCTGCTAGATAGTAACAGCCCCTCTTGGAGGGGCCAAGTAGTACCCATCTAGCAGGATATGGTGGGTGCTTAGCAAATACTTATTGGCTGATACGGGGTCAGACTAGATGATTGTGTGGCTATTTCATAGCTTTGACACTCAATGATCCCCCTGCCTCACTGGAACGTCCTCCCAGCCTCTCCCATGGCCTTTCCGGACACACCCTACCCCAGACCTGCTCAGAGCCCTCACCCGAGGTGAAGCGGCGTTCCTTCTTGCAGTAGAAGTCTTGATAGGAGGACATGACTATGGGGACAATGGGAACCTGGGGAAGGGGTAACGAAGATCAGCACACAGCTTTCTTCTGAGACTCCCACAACCAACCTCTGCCCTGAGAAGACGGAATTGTGGGAGCCATGGGCTGAGTAGCAGGAGGGGAAGTAGTAATCACCTGGGCCTGCACTGCAAGATGGAAGGCCCCGCGTTTGAAGGGCAGCATGGAGCCATTATGGTTTCTTGTTCCCTCAGGAAAAACCCAGACCCTCACCTGGGGAAGAAAGAAGGTCAAGGAAGACACACACATATGGGCGTCGGAGTGGGCGCAATGCTCTAATGGGACCCTGCATAGCAGTTGATTTACAAGTGTTCTACTCTCTAGCCCCCCATTCCCCATTTCCCTAGGATGACTCACGTCCTGGGTGAGCAGTGTCTGGGCGACCTCAGACATGACACTGATGGCATCCCCCGTGCGCTTCCGGTCGATGAAGATGACTCCTGCCAGCCAGCAGGCCAGCCCAGCAGAGCCGGCCCACAGTAGCTCGCGCTTGGCAATGGGCACACAGCGGCCTGGCAGGACCTCCATCATCCCTTGGGCAGGGGTGAGGGTAGGGCAAGGATCAGGCGGAGGCAGAATGTCACAGCAGGAAGCCCACCTCACCCAGCTCTCACCCATACTAGTAGGCACTGGAGATAAAGGAGGGAGGGGACTGGGTAGGGAAGCCCCATGTGAAGGGAAGGGAGACTACAGGTATATGTACTCTGTTTATGGGGGCAGCTCTACCCCAGGGAAAGAAGGCCTGAGGAGGGAGCAAAGGGGCAATGTCCCGGAGGAGGAGGAGTTGAGGGCCTCTAGGGAGGAGATGCCGGGGAAGGTCCCAGGAGGGAGGGCGTGGCTGGGGGAGGTGTGCCCTGTGTTGGGGTCTCACCAAGCAGGTCGAGGGAGCTCTGGTGGTTGGAGACAACAACATAGGGCTGTGAGGGAGGGAAGTGGTGAGCCCCTCGCACCTCCACTCGGATGCCATACAGGTATTTGATGTGGAGCAGCATTAGACGCAAGATCCTGTGGGGTCACAGCAAGGCGTCCCAGTGGGATCCATTGAGGTCCACCTGCATGCCTCAGCTCCCTCCACCCTACTGTATTTCTGGCCACCTTTGCAGTCCTCTCCCCCTTCCTCGTCTCTGGGGTCTCTTAGTCTCTTCTACAAATACCGTGCCTCCTCCCTCCAATCCACTACTCACTTTTCACCCTTAGGTCCCCTCATCACCCACTATCCCTTGCCCCTCACTTCATGTTCTCGACATTGCGTCCTCGCACGGCACACACAGGAATGGCAAGCACAGCCAGGAAGAGGATCCAGCCATTGTAGAAGGCCATCTTGAAGAAGTACTTGGCACTGGGGCTGCAGAACCACAGGGTGGGCAGCAAGAAGAGCAGCAGCAGAAAGAGCAGCAGCAGCAGCGTCCATGCCCCTGGCCACAGCTCCATTCTGGCCACCTGCAGGGGATAGGGCAAGGGATTGTCAGCCTAGTTTCTGGAAGGGAGTGGGGTAGGCAAGGCACAGAAGGCAGGGTTGAAAGGGTGCTATGAGGACAAGGGCCAAAGACAGGATAGGGCCAAGGCTCCCATGGAAACCTTCCCAGGAAGCCTCTCAAGGATGGGGGCAGTGACGATGGGGAGCTCAAGACCATTCTCCAACCCCTCTTCTTGAGGGCCCCAGATGTATTCAGACAGGCAAGAGACATGAGATGTGGACATCCACCACTCACAGATATATGATAATAAATGACAATAATAATGATAGCTAACCCATGTAGCTGGTAAGGTCTTATAATGGTCTATAATTATGCTGTCCAATACCGTAACCACCTGCCACATGTGGCTATTGAAATGTGGCTAGTCAGATTGAGATGTGCTGGAAATGTAAAATACACATCAGATTTCAAAGACTTTGAATGAAAAACAATGCAAGATATCCCATTAATAATCTTTTATATTAATTACATTTTGAAATTATAATCTTTTGGCTATATTGGGTTCAACAAAGTATATTATTAAAATTAACTTCACTTTCTTCTTACCTTTTTTAATGTGGCTACCAGAAAATTAAAAATTACATATGTGGCTTACATTATATTTCTGTTGGACAGTACAGGTCTATACACTCAGTTAAATCTTAAATATGATCTATAAATATAGATCACACAATGATCTATAAAGTACCACTATTATGTACATTTTATAGGAAATAGGTCCAAAGAGGTTAAATAACGTACCTGAGGACATACAGCTCTTAAGCAGCAGTTTCTAGATAAAAACTAAGCAGCCTGTGTTCCTAACCACTCAGTTACACTGCCGCCTGCATGTACAGTACACACATACACGTACACAGCACAGAGCAGGTATGGCGATGGTGACAAAACACCCACAGACTTACACTCAATGGCCAAATGGCAAGAATAAAGACTCATGTCACTAATGCCAGCAGACACACATAGTCACACAAAGACTGACAAGTTCATACACAGATATAAATTTACAATCATACCCAGTGACAGATAAAGGAATGCAATTACATACCTAGAAAAATCCCTCTCCACCCCAGCAGCCTCCCCTATTCATAGATAAACCCATGGACATACCTGGAATAGCTACATGCACCAATCCTGCCTTGAGATAGGCAAACAAACCCACCACCCGCTTCCCTCCCTTCTAGTGACAATCTGGGTGGGCAGGTACAGCGTGTAAGGCCTCAACACCGGAGAAATGGAGCGCAGAGAGTAAAAGGGACATAGCAGCACATGCCCTGCAAGAGGAAAGGGCTCAAGAGGAAGAGGCGCAGGCACCCAGAACCTGCCTTCTAGGTTCTTCCTCCTTCCTCCACTCTGCCCCACTGCTGGGGGCAGGGTCACAAGTCACAAAAATGGTGTTCAGGCAAATACCTGTCACTCCCAGTGAGGCCACAGGCACTCCCTTCCCATGACAGGAAGGGCTGTGCTCAAAGGTGAGCCCATTGCCAAGTGAGACTGGCAATAGAGGAAACGGGACCCTGCCAGCTGGGAAGTGGTAGGCTTTCCCAGCGGCTCCTTCCCACTCGCTGCCCCTGCCGAGTTCAGACACAGCAACCCAAGAGCTTTCTCTGTAACACAAATCTGAGCATTTCCCCGTCATAAAGGCTCTTCTTGACAAGCTGACCTCTGCTTACATCTTCCACCACATCCCCACAAAAGCCTTTTTTCGCTCTAGTCAAACTGATTTATTTACTTCATTTCCTCAGACAACACCATGATCTTTCATGCTTCTACGCCTTGCACATGCTGTTCCCTTTGGCTGGAATAGACTTCACATAGCTCAATATCACCTTCTGGAAGTCTCCTGAACCCCTCCAGGTCTATGTTTTCATTACATGTTTATGTTCATCATATGGTTCTTGAAATGTAGAAATGCAAATTCTTAGACCTCATCCCAGATCTAATGAATCAGAAATTCTGGGCACTGGGCCTAACAATCTGTATTTTAGCAAGCCCTTCAAGTGATTCTGATGTGCACTCGAGTTTGACAACCACTGATCTCAAAAACATACTGTGTGACTGCTCACTGGCATTTTTGTTTCCCTCCCTAGATTGTAAGCAGCTTGAGGACAGGAACTCTGCCTTATCTCTAATGCCAGCACAATAGGAGGTAGAACAAGCACCCAATAAACATTTGCTGAACAGATTATAAGGCTGTATACATACCCACACAGCCACAACTAATGACAGAAACGACAGCTCTGATCATGAATCAGTGAGCTAACCTCTCGAGGAATATTGACTGCTAAAGGAAAAGTCACCAAGAAAGTAATGAACACTCCAAGCCTAACAGTAACCTACTCTGAATACACACATACAAGGCAGAGTGACAACAATCAGGAAGGGGTCATCTCACACACAAAAGAAACATACAGGATGGGATGAACATGTGACAGGGGGAAGATGCTGCTGTCATCAAATATGTGCCAACAGTGAAGAGTGGGAGATGATGTCCATAAACAAACATGGATGATGAGGGTTTACAGCAGGGTTGACCCTGTGACGTGCACCGAGTTCATGGACTCTGTGTGTACAAAGCCACTGGAGAGATGATGTGCGTGAAGAGACACAGGCCAGGGAGGTCAGCAGGTAAGGCACGTGGGGATGGTTCTTTGGGAACTTGAAGACCCAGTTACCTTCTCTAATACTGGATATTAAGTGACCCTCTCTGGAGAACAATTGTTCAAGGATTTAAAAACACAATGGAAGGCTAAATTTAATGACTGTATGGCTTGTAAAATATGCTGACAATAAATTTAGCAAATAAATAGTACATGTAACCAGAAGCACACACACTATGGTTGTGTTACATCAGTGTACCACATGAACGGGCATGCACATATGTTATGTAAACCATGATTGGGAAAATGCACACACAAACAGGATGGTCCGATCACTGATCACCGCATGGAAGTGTTTGCTATTCCGCCAAGCCGTGAGACCCCACTCACGAGAAGACTACTGCATATGGGAGGACCATGGACATAACATGCCAGGAAAACAAAATAAAGTATATAACCATTACATGCTAAAGTAAACATGCAAAACCAAACGTGCACGTAACATGAAACCATATAATAGGTGCAGTATATGAAAACTCACACATGGTACTTGAACATGTCAAAACTGGATGTGAGACATGGACAGGAAATATGAGAATGGCCAATTCTGACAAAAAATAATATCACGTCTCCACTGCCTATGGATATTCAGACAACCAGACTGCACACATCATTAAACATGTCAAAGGCACAATAATTCAATGTAGAAAACAAGGCTCCCCACAAGGCATTTGTGTGTCAGCTGTATAGCAGTGTGGAAGGCCACTGAGAAACCAAGAGGTCCTGTGCCTAGATGGAAACAGGTGCCTGAGGGCATTTCTAGGAAGCAAATTCTGCTGGCCTTTTCCCCTCATGGACACCCCCCCCCAAAAGTTATGTGGGGTCAAAGGGCAGGAAAAGAATTGGGGAAGCTGTAGGGAATTCCCTTTCCAGAATTCCCTGTCCACACCCCCAGTCCCAAATTCACAAGGGTTTCCATTTCTCCTCCCTCCCGTGTTTCTTCCAGCCTTCCTCCCTCTCAAGCCCTCTCTCTTCCTCCTCAACAGCCCTCTCCCCAGTCGGCCCTTATCCTTTCCCCAGCAACCCTCTTCCCAGTCGGCCCTCCCAGACCCAGTCTCGCCCCATCCCCACATCCTAGTCCTTTTTAGCACCCTCCTCCCTCCTCCTCCCATCCCTTTCCCGCCCACACCTCAATGGGGTGGGGGGCCTGGGGAGCTGGCCCCCTCCCCAGCCAGGCTGCGGCAGCGGTGGTGGCGGATGGCTGTGTCTCTGTCTCTGTCGGGGTGTCGGTGCCAAGGGGACGACAGGATTTGGGGGTGTCCTAGCCCCGGCCGATGGAGGGGAGGTGGGAGTGGGAGGTTGGGCCCATAGCGGTAGGAATGGTGGGGGGTGGCGCCCCCAACACCCTCCCTCCCTCCCTCCCTTCCTGCTGTCCCTCCGAGGGCTGGGGCTGCTGCTGCCGCTATTCCCCCCACCCCTCCCCAACGCCCGCTGGTTTCCGGGGCTGGCCAGGAAGTGGGGGGCGGTGATGGGCAGCCTGTTTTGCCAATCGCTTCCCAGAGACCAAAGCATCTCCTCCCCACATCTACCAGTTATCATCTTGCAAGTTCCACCCCAGGAGAGCTCAGCGGGGCTCTTCCTTCGTCTTTGCCCCTCTGGCTCCAGCTGCAGCTTTTTTCCTCCAACCCCCTTTCAGCTCTGGATCCCTTGGTGCTGCATTCCCCCTTCGGTACATTCCTTCCCCTCATTCTCCATCCGCTCTCCTCTTACTGCCACTTTTACTTGGTCTCTCTCTGGTTTCTTCCTTTAACTCCAGTATCTTGTTGCTTATTCCTTCCATCTCTTCTCACAGACCCCTTTTTCTGTCTCTCATTCAATTCTAAACATTTATCAAGCACCTACCATGTGTCAAGTAGTGAGTTCACCTCTCTTCTTTTTCTTTCCAGGGTTCCATCTCACCCCACTTCACCCTCCAGTCCTCTGGTCTGGTCTCTTTGCCCTTTGTCCCCCCACTATCTACCAGCAGTCCAGCTATCTCCTCCACCCACGCTTTCTGGCCTTTAGAGAGGGGATTTCTCTGGTTGTCTCCCTGACCCTTTGCTTTCCATGCTTTTACCTCAGTACTTTTTCTTTCCTAGCTCCTTCCTTCCTATCAGTCTCTTTACTCACCCTGAGACATACCCTCCCCCCAACATAGAATCTTTGTGCATCTTTTCTTCCAATAGCAACTAGGGTTGCTTCCTAGACAAAAAATGTGAGGAAGAATGCTGATTCCTCCAGGATGAGCATGTCTCCTTAACTTTGTAGCCACGTATCTAGCTCTCCAAACCCTGCTCCCCTCTTCCCCATAGTCCCATTATCCCTTTACCAGGATCATTCCATCACTCCTCCATCCTTGGTCTCCACCTTTCCCTCTCAATTCCTTCTTTGCTAAACCTCTTCAAGCATCCTGAACTGTTACCTGTCCAATCCTCCTCTATGCACCTCCCAACTTCTCATCTTTCCTTACTCTTGAGTCATATGGGACATTTTTATCAGGGTGTTGCTTAACAGCCCTCAGCCTGTGTCTGCCTCCCGCCCCTAGACACACCTTTGCCTTGCATGCCTTGTGAAAGAGGATGTAAAGAACATTGGTAGTGGGAGGACTTTTACCTAGTTCTGCTTCTTGGGCCACAGTGAGGGTCACTGACTGTAGGAAAGACCCAAGCTCCCAGGGGTCCAGCCCTGGAAGAAGACCCTAGTTCTGCAGGGCAAATTACACGAAGGAAGGGGCGGGCCCAACCCTATTCCGCTGCGGGTCACCTAAAAAGGGGCGGGCCTTGCTCCTTCTGCACCACTCGCAAAAGGGTGGAGCCAGAGCTTTTCTGCAGTTAAACTTTAAAACGGAGTTAACTCTGTTCTACTCTGTGTCACATTAAGAAGGGTGTGGAGCTTTAGTTCAGTTCTGCTCTGTAAATCACCTAAAGAGGGGCGGGCTGAGTCGTCCAGCCGAGAGAGTTGGGTTAACACCAGCACCGCAGATCGATGTTCGCACCATCCAGACGTCGGGCTAATCCCAGTTCTGCTCGCTTCTTCACTAAGAGGGAGGGGCGGAACCAAGTTCTGCTCTCTACGTCACCCCAGGAGGCCGGAGCCATTTTGAACCCTGCAACCCTTGTATTTGCTCTCTTTTGCTAGCTCTTCGCCGTCTTTCCCAGTGTTGTCCAATCAGGGGCGAAGGAAACGGCCCAATCAGTCGAGAGAGTCTACAGCCGAAGAACCCGGATGAGGCCAAGCCGAGGCCTTTGAACTGTAGGCCCCGCCAATTGCAGAGCAGTCACTATGGCGACAAGATAGAGGTAAAGGGGTGGGACCAGAGAAGGCTCAACCCTCACAGGGTTGGCCCACCTTGTCCCGCCGCGTGCTGCGCAGGCGCATTTTACCTAACCACCATTTTCCGTCGAGTTCTAACCAATGAGTTGCTTTAGGGCAATACGCTCCAAAGTCCAATAGGAATCCGGACATTCTCTGAAAGAGGAAGTGAAAGAAAGAAAGCTTATGGTGGGCGAGGTCTAGGTAGTCCCGAGCCAATTGCTTCTGGTCTTTATGACTGGCATCTACTCAGACGAATAAAGCCCTCCCTGGCCGGGCGACGGGACGGAGTGTAGCGAGTTATTGCCAGTCCTTGGCACTGAATAGTAACTGCGACTCTATCAGCCAATAATCACTGTGCAAGGGCAGGACCGCGCAAACCTTGGACCAATCTTATCTTGTGAACCCTATGTGATTGGCAGGCACTCAGGCCAATAGTGATTAGAAAAGCTTGAAGCCTGCCCAATGATCGTGGGCAGGAGGTGGTTTCTCGTTTGTTGGGGCGTGTGTGTGTGTATGTGTGTATGCGTGTGTGTGTGTGTGTGTGTGTGTGTTGTGTGTGTATTTGAGGGGTACGTGGGGGGGCTAAACAAAACCGGCCATGGCAGCAGCAGAGGAAGAGGACGGGGGCCCCGAAGGGCCAAACCGCGAGCGGGGCGGGGCGGGCGCGACCTTCGAATGTAATATGTTTGGAGACTGCTCGGGAAGCTGTGGTCAGTGTGTGTGGCCACCTGTACTGCTGGCCCTGTCTCCATCAGTGGCTGGAGACACGGCCAGAGCGGCAAGAGTGCCCAGTGTGTAAAGCTGGGATCAGCAGAGAGAATGTTGTCCCACTTTATGGGCGAGGGAGCCAGAAACCCCAGGATCCCAGGTGAGAGGAGTTGTGCTCAGGGAAGGTAGAAGGCTTTTGCCCTAGGAAGAGGACGTGGAAGAGGAGAGAATTCCCTGTTGATAGTCTCTCTCCTCTTTCTCAGGTTGAAAACTCCACCCCGCCCCCAGGGCCAGCGACCAGCTCCAGAGAGCAGAGGGGTGAGTCTTCTTGTCCATTTGTGTCCCTTCCTTGCCAGTGATTTGTGCGGTTCCCCTCTGACTTTTTTTTACCCCCCTAGGGATTCCAGCCATTTGGTGATACTGGGGGCTTTCACTTCTCATTTGGTGTTGGTGCTTTTCCCTTTGGCTTTTTCACCACCGTCTTCAATACCCATGAGCCTTTCCGCCGGGGTACAGGTAAGAGTCACACTCAGCTCCTACCAGGGAGCCTTATCAACCCCCTTGGGCCCCTCCTGGCCTAGGAGCATATGCTTCTGCAGCTTTCCTCTCTCCCACAGGTGTGGATCTGGGACAGGGTCACCCGGCCTCCAGCTGGCAGGATTCCCTCTTCCTGTTTCTCGCCATCTTCTTCTTTTTCTGGCTGCTTAGTATTTGAGCTGTGTCTCCTTCCTGCTCATTTCCAGCCAGAGGAGAATCAGTATTGGGGCTCCCTAATGATCCTTCCTTACTCCTGGACTCCCAACCCCTCCTTTTCTGTCGGCTAAGGCCAACCCTGGCCACTCTCCAGGAGGGCTTGGTGAGGAGTGACATCTGGGCGTAGGATGGGAGAATCTTCTCTGAACTGCTCGCTCAATAGCATTGTAATTCCTGGACCTGGAGGAGAAGGACAGACTAAAGACAATGTCTGTTTCTCTTCTCTCCTAATCCTTTGCTTTCCCCAGATTTCTTGATTTGATGTTGAAGGGTGGTCAAGGCTCCCTTTGACTCTCCGCCACTTCCCCTCATATTGATTTAATTAAATTTTTCTCTTCCCAGTGTCTAATATGGGTTCTGCCTCTTAAGTGGTCCCTCCCCTTCACTACCTCCTTTATTACAAATTCAATAAAAAAGATGAAATGTATTGATGGGAACTCTTTCCAAGTTCTTCCTTCCTTCCTTCTAGTACAGGAACATCTCCCCAACTTGAGGAGATGTTTGGTGTGGTGTAGGAAATCATGGGGGTTCACAGTTTTCAAGGGTGCAGGGCTGAGATCGTCTCACATACGCACACAAGCACACATGGTCAAGGTGTATCAGGTATTTACTCATCACTGTTTGTGGGGAGCTCTGGTTGTGGAATAAAGTTTGGCAAGATAGGATGTAGCCTCTGCAGGGGAGAGCTGGTCTGGGGCCAGAATGGGTCAGAGGAAAAGGTGATGGGTGGGGTCTGTCTATGGGCCCCTCAAGGCCCTCCCGTACTGCTCTCGCCTGCCTCAGGCTCTTCTGACTGATTCAGCTCTGCACGCTCCTCCTCCTCCTCTTGGTTTTCTGGGGCCTTCCTGAGGAGGAGGATTGGGGAGAATTCTGCACATGGTTCTCAGTGCTCCATCGTTCCATCCCCCACATCTGTCACTTGCTGCCTGGAAGCCCCAGGTCTGAGGTGTCTGGCTTTCTCTCCACTCACCTCTCTTCTCCTTGGTGTCGCCGCCTTCGCCACATGATGATCCCAATGAGCAGGGCTGCTGTCCCCAGGCCTCCCAGGATCCCCAGGGCCAGGGCTAGAGTTCCCAGCCCTGACCCTCCCACAGAGCCTGTAGGGAGATGGGGAAAATTGAGGGCATGGTCCTCAGTGCTCACCATTCCTTTCTTGTTGACCAGCCCCCAGTCATATGTTGGGAGCTATCTTCTGCTTCCTCTGACTATCCAACCCCTCACCTGCAGCTGGCCCCTCCTCGCCTGTTTCTGGAAGACAAAGTTGGAACAAGTCAGAAGGGCAGACATCAGTTTGGGAGAAGGCTACTTAGTGGGAGCCCCAGTGACGTCTTTCCCTTTCTTCAATTCAGAGGGAAGAGGGGAGAGGCTCAGCTGCTCTCTTGGCAGGATTTGGGTTGGGCAGAGGAGGACTGGGTGTGGGTGCATGGAGGGAGGGGTGGGGTGGCTCTTGGGGATAATGCCAGAATGGGATAGGGAATTGGAGCCTGTGCTGTTCCTCCTCTCAGCCCCAGGGTCCATGGCATTTGGGGAAAGGTCTCACCGATGATGCTGATGCTGACAGTAGGGCTTTCCTGGGGCCCATGGCTGGGATGGGTGGCCACACAGCTGTAGGTTCCCTGGTCCTGAGGCCCTACCTCAGGGAGGATCAGCACAGGGCTGGGGGAAAGGGACAGGGGCACACCCTGGGCGGGGGAAGGGAGATAGACTGTTACAAGACCCCTGTCCACATCCCATACTCTTGTCTCTTTGTCTCCACATCCTCAGATACCCTCAGATGTCTTCCTCCTCAGCTCCTAGCCTGCCTCTCCCTCCATTAGCCCTCTGCCTTCCTTCCAGTCACCAGCTGGGGTTCTCCCTACCTCCCAAGCCCTGTCTCCAGGTCACTCACATCCTTCATCCAGTGGATTTGAGGAGGGGGCTGGGCAGGGGCTTTGCAGGTCAGGGTTACGGTCCCACCAGGAGCTACTACTCCACCTTCTGGCTCCACCACCAACTGGACTTCCTCCAGAGGCTCAGGCTCTGCCGGTTGGAAGAGGCATGAGGTTGAGAGTTACACCCACGAGTGATTCCGGTGGCCATGGACTTGACTCTCTCTTTCCCTGAGGGCCATACCTCCAGAATGTGCTCACCTGAGCTTGGGGCCCTCCCCACCTCTGTGCTCACCCCAGACGCTGGGCTGGATGGGGGCTGCGTGCAAGGCCCGGCGCCGGGGCAGGCCCGGGCTGAAGCTACAGGAGAAGGTGGGGCGGGAAGCTCCTCCCTCGGCTGGGGTCACCATCAGCTCCGACTGCAATGTGAAGAGCCCCGTCTCAGGATGTCTCCAGGTCTGTTCCTTCACAGACACTCCTACAGTGGAGGGAGGAGAAGTACGACATCACGGGTTGTGGGAGTGAGATCAGGAAGAAGGCTGCTAGGAGGGGGGAACTTGGGACTCACCCTTCCCATCAGGTACCAGGGGTTTCCCATCCAAGTGCCAGCTAAGAGTGCCTGCAGGGTAGCCTCCCTTGGACACACAAGTCCCCACCTGAGGAAACAGTGGTGACCTCATCATCCTTTGAAAATGATAGACGCCGTACACCCCCAACACAGCCACACTCCCGTTCTTCACGGGACCACTTTCTGCTTCTCTCTCTCTTTCACTACCTTACTGGGGATGCCAGCCATGAGTTCAGAGGCAGGATCTACAATTTCTGGCTTCCCAGGAATCTCTGAAGAAGGGAAAATTCTAGTCAGAGGCTGCAGCTTTGAAGGTTCTTATACTCCAGGTATGGGAATGGGGGTGACAGAAGTCGGAAGTCCTCACACACCAGGGCCAAGGAGTCAAGGGCTGGGGTTGAAGGCTTTATCTTAGATGAGAGGGAGGCTGTGGAGAAGGAAGGCCCTGGAACCCTTACGGTAGACTCGGACTCGGTAGTTGGATTTGGTCTCCTTTCCATTCCTGTTCGTTGCCCGGCACCGGAAAGTCCCCTCATCCTGGATCCCAATGGCTGGAAGGAGGAGGGAGCCGTTGGGGAGGACATGAGCCACGCTATCCCAGGGGCCTCCCTGGGGAGACAGGACCTTCCAAGCTTCTGTCCGTCCTGTGTTCTGAAGACAGAAAGGAGGGGCCTAAACATCAGTCCTTTGGGAAAGGACTGATGAGGCCAGTCACCGCTGGTTGCTCTGGACATTGGGAGGCTGTGACAGGGGCTCTGCTTACCAGTTTCCATTCCAGCTGCTGGGGTGGTTTCTTGGGGGCCCCCTTACAGTTCAGCACCAGTGGCTCTCCGATCTGCGCTGTGACATTTTGACCACCTACCACCGCCCCTGGGAGATAGCACCATGGTGGAGGGGTAGGAAGGTAGATGGAGCAAATGAAATTAGGACAGGGTGGGTGAAGGAGCTTGCAAAACAGTGCCTGGGTTCTAGGAAGGTTCTGGGGAGATTGGAGGGTAGGAGTGAAGTATTCTCTGCAGCGAGGATTGGTGGGGTGGGAGGAGTGGCTCACCCCACAGACTGAGGACCAACACCCAGGCTCCGGCCGCTGCCCCTGCTGCCATCCTGCTTCTTCCCCAGGCTCCTGGCTGTGTCTGCCCCTTTCCCTGCTGTGGCTACCGCCCTAGGTGGGGCTTGCACCCTCTTCCCTGCCCCCATCTCTCAGTCCTGTCCTGTCACAGAGAATGCTAGGAATTCATGCCTCTGGGACAAGAGTCCTTCAGGTACTGAGAGAAACAATTATCACCCCACCCCTGGGCACTGCCAGCCTCTGGGCACAGCCACTTCTCTCAGGGTGGGGAGTGTGTACCTCGTAGGGTCTTATTCCCTCAGAGGCCCCAGTGTATCCGGTCAGTCCTGAGGGCTGCCTGGTGGCCCACTGCAGCCCGTCTTGACTCGGCAGGGTCTCTGGACTGCAGGCTTCAGGCCTGGCTGTTGTTTGCTGAGGTGGAATGGGGCAAGTGAGAGCAAAGCTAGAGCATGGGGAGAAATCTGCTTGGGACTTCGTGAGAGAAAAGTTTATTCTGGGGTTTCTCATATTTTTTGAAAAAAATTCTCAACTAAACCCAGGGAAAAAAGAAATTTCTTTATTTAAAACTGCATTTTTTTTTTTTTTTTTTTTTGTGAAACTACAAGTTTACAAGTGAGGAGAGAACTGCCCCCGGTCCGTGCGTCCCGCCCCCCACCCGTCACACTCCCAACTTGTCCCCCAAGCCTGCCCAGATCTCTTGATGGGAGGGGTCCCTCACTCTGACAGTCTTGTAAAATCCTGAGGGTGTCTGAGGGGATCAGATGGTAGGGTTCCAGGGCCAAGGATGGTACAGTGTTGATTTTACTTTCTCCCATACCTGGCTTTTTGCAACCTCCCTCCTCTCTTCCCACCCAGTTGGTTTTGGTGTAATCTAAAGATGCCTAAATTCTAGGGAAACTGAGGGAGATACACATACAAGCACCCCAACCCATGTTTCACATATTTGGCAATAACCCCCTCCCTATTCTTCCCCCTGTAATGAACAAATAGTAGTTAAAAAAAATTAAGGATGTATCACTTTTTAAGGTGGCATCTTTGATTTCTTCAAAATTACTGAGTCCAACCCTGCCCAAGGGCCGTGGGCAGAGGGGGCTAGGAGGCCAGCAGACGCTCACTGCTGTCACGGCAAATGCAGCAGAAACCTGCCTACACAAGCAAAGAACACCCACGTGCTTGTAGGGGGTGAGGGCTTTGTGGCTTATACAATTCACTGCCTGATGGACAGGCCTGTAACCAGGTAAGCCTATTCACCAATTGTCTCCCTTTCTCTTACTAGGACCCCTCTGGCTATCACCCCTGTCATGGGAAAGCAAGAAATTAAAAAAGTCAAGAAAATAACATTTATATTTAAAAAAAACTACATCCCCAAACTAAAAATTAAGAACCACCACCACCAACAAAAGAAAAAAACATTTAAGAAATATATATGGATCCCAGGGTTTCTTTTTCTTTCCTAAAAAAAAAAGTTCAACCCCAAAGCCCAGTCAATAATTCCCTAAAGTAGCAGAAACTCCCTCCGAGGTAGATATCTGAGTCAGACACTCTTGTCCACAGAGCGGTTCTATTGGTTTAGGATGAGCTGCGTATGAGGTAATAAAGCCGTCTGGAGGGGCAGGGGTGGGGAAGCACAGGGGGCGTGGTCCATGTCCTCTGTCCAGAAGTCATGTCCCCATTTTTGGCATCTCTGGTCGGGCAGGCCTGGTGTCTCTACAGATTCCAGAACATGTAAGTGGGGTGGGGGAGCCCAGAGAGAGTATGTGGGAGTGTTTGGGGGTGGAGAGAGAGAAGGGCTCTGAGAAAGAGGTTTCTGAGTGTGTGTTTGTGTAAGAGAGAAAAAAGATAGAAGAAAAGGGGAGACAGACCCCACTCTCCCTTAGGGGCCCTGTTCTTCCTGCTGTGTAGTCAGCACCCCCAGCACTGAGAGAGTCCACTTGGGGCGGGGACGATCCCATTCACCCTTCTCTGTCTTGTGCTTCTCTTGTATTTGGGGTTTGTCTTCTGGATGCCCGAGTCTTCTTCAAGAGTTGCCTTGTGAGAGCCCCTACCCCTGTGACCCTGAGGGGCGAGATCAGTTGGAGGTGTCGGAGTGAACACTCCCTGGTCCCTCTGTCGGGGATGTCACTGAAGAGGGGGTCACAGCCTCCTGCCAGCTGCCATTTGCCTGGGAAAAAAGAGACACAGTTGGAGTCTGGGAAATAGGGTCCTGGGGAGCCCTTTGTGGGCACAACACTGCTGGGGAAAGGCCCTTCTGTCCTGGCGAGAGCTGGAGGGAGGGGCTGCAGAATCCACTCACCCTCATTTCCCGAGGGCTGTACATCTGGCCTGCCCCGAGGTTATCCCCGTAGCCCCCTGGCCCCATCGAGTGTCGGAGTGATTCCACCTGCAGGCAGCAGAGGAAGGTGTGACACGTGAGAGGCCTCAGAAGAAAGAGGTCTTGCATCTTCCAGCAGGGGAAACAGTCTGGGAAGGCCCTGCTTGAGAGGAAATGGGGGCAGCTGACCTGGGAGGCAGAATAGGAATCTCCATTGAGCCCAGGCATTCCCAGGAACATGTCTCCGGATCCTGAGAGATTGAAAGAGCCACCAGAGCCTTGGAGGAACAGAGAGGGAAGAATATAAGAGAGCCTGTGACGGCAGACAGGAGATAACTCTGTTACCAAAAGGCCCTTTCAACTAGCTCTGTGGGGGATGTGCTACTATACGAATTATCCACAAAACAACATTCCAACACTCAGAAAGAGCAGGCTATTCCTGAGCCTCCCCTGGCCACTCACTGCAAGAAAGGCAGAATTAACTTTACTGGAGTGGCCTTTGTCCCTTTGACATCTCTATCCTGTTTCAGCTTGGTCCCTCTAGCCCCAAAAGGTCCCCTCTCTGTTATGATCCTGCCTAGACAGGAAGTGGGAACAAAAGCAGGAAGTGTGCAAAACAGCCAGCTGGGGTGACAGTGGGATCCACCTGCGGAGGAAGGGGGCGTCGGGGAGCTGGTGCGGCTGTGGCCTCCCTGGGTGACTGACACAGCAGTCTTGACGGCATAGATGTTTGCCTCTTCTTGGAATTTTCCAATATTTTTCTTATAGCGAATGCGCTTGTTGCCAAACCAGTTGGAGACCTGTGGGGTGTTGGGCAGAAAGGAAGGTCAGGTAGAAACCTTTCCCCCTGAAGCTCTTCACTGAATAGGATCTGAAAGCATTTTCTTTTAATTTTTTTTTTGAGACGTCTCACTATGTTGCCCAGGCTAGTCTTGAACTCCTGAGCATAAGCTATGGTCCCGCCTCGGCCTCCTGAGTAGCTGGGATGACAGGTGCACGCCACCACACCTGACTAGGGTCTGAAAACATTTTGCTTGGAGACTCCCTTCTCCCCACACCCTCACAGTACCTGAGAGACAGTGATGCCACATTTCTTGGCGAGCTCCTCCTTAGCCTCCTCACTGGGATATGGGTTACTCAGGTGGGAGTAGAAATACTCATTTAGGACCTCAGTGGCCTGTTTGCTGAAGTTCCGGCGCTTTCGTCTACGGAGGAGGGAGAAGGGTAGTGAGTAGGAGGATGGCGTCTGGCAGGGCTGCCATGTCGCATGACTCCAGAGGGCACCGCTGTCACGGAGTTCCGTGCTGTGCAACACGGCAGCCCAGGGCCTTGGAGAGGAATGGGAAGGAGCCTGGTGCTGGGGGCTGGCCTGGGTGCCTGGGCCCCACCTGGCATCCAGGAAGCGGGAACGCAGGATCATGACGGCCTCGCAGGTGCTCTGCTTGAGCTGCATCTGGATGGCGCTGAACTTCCGGTGGATGATGCTCACCATGCGCTCCATCTCCTTGGGTGCCACCGGCCTCGTGCGGCTCTGCTCCCTCAGCAGGTTCATGACGTGGGTTGTGAACTCATTACACGCCTGTAGTGGGGGCCCGTAGCTGGTGAGGAGGAGCCCTTTGGTCTTGAGATTCCTTCCCCAAAGCCCCTCCCTCCACACCTCCCCCTCTCCTCACCTGTTCGTACTTCTCCAGCTCTGAGTGGTAGATGTGGCGGATCTGGGCAAGTTTGCTGCGATAGTCCGAGTGTTCGATGGAGTTGTCAGGGGACACGCTGCCCCCGGAGGCTGCAGCGGCTGCAGCGGCTGCTGCTGAGCCCCCCCCTTTCTCAGGCCCAGCCACACCCTCTGCCAGAAGCATGTTGTCCAAACGCATCAGCTGTGGGTCCACCGGCTCCTCCTCTTGGGAGCTTCGAATGCTGAGGCCTAGCATGCAGGCGGGCGGACTTAGGGACCCAGGGACCCCACACCAGTGCTCAGTCCTCCTGGAGACCCAAGTTCCCAGGCTTTGGTTCCTTTCCCAGTCCCCCTTAGCAACTTCAACTCCTCACTTTCCTCACGGCCCCAAGCTGTCACAGTCTTTAGCCCTACAATGAACAAGGTTCTGTCCCCAGAGTTGAGGAAGTCAGAGGGGGACACACATACCAGTTTTCTCCTTGATTTCACACAGGACGCTAAAGAGAGCAGGCTTCATTCGGTGGCAGTTTAGGGCGTGTTTCCTTGGGAGGCGTGGGAGTGGGGAAAGAAAAAAGTTGAGGGGCTAGAGAAACAGAGCAGGGGTCTCTGAGGTGGGAAGGGAGCGTGGGAACAAGGAGGGAGAAGGGTGCATGTGCAGAGGGAGGAAGCAGGTTGGGGGTGGAACGGAGTTGGGGAGGAGGCTTCCTGGGAAAAGGTCAGCTCCCAGAGCGTGGGGAAGCTGCTGGGCTTCAGGCTTCAGGAAGGCAGGGGAAGATGCAAGCAGCAGTCCAAAGGCACTGTGGGTGGGCTGGGGGCTTTGGGAGATGGTCTAGGAAGGTGGGAGGTGGGATCTGGGGTGTGACTAGATACTTTTCAGAGGAATAGAGATGGAGTTTGAGGTGGCAGAGAGGGACTGGGGGTGCTGAGGTAAGTGTGTGCAGGGTCCTGGGGCTGGGTAGGTGGGAAGCTTTGATGCACCTGGTGCCTGGCTGAGCAGTGGGAAGGGGGGTGAGGACCACTGGAGGCTAGGACCATGGAGTGTTAGGAGCTCTGGAGAGCGTGTGGAGGTCCCCAAGTCTGGAGAGAAGCGGGTGGGTTGCATGGAGAGTTAGGGGAGAAGACGACATAGCCTAAGAACAGTTTCTTGGTCTGGGAGCCAGAAGGGGGCTCCGGAGATGGGGAGTGTGGGGGTCAGCAAAAGGTTAGGAGGGGGAGTGGGGCCACCTGGGGTCCACTCTGTGAAGGCTTCAGGGCCTAGGGGTGAAGGGAGGTTTGAGAGAGACCACTTCTCTAGGGGCTCCCAGGAGTAAGGAGGCAGCTGCTGGATCCTGGAGAGGGCCCTGGATTTTGGGGGCTCCCAGAAGATTGAGAGCTTGTGAACGGGGGTTTGCTAGGTCTGTGTGGGGTCCCGGGGTGGGGGCACTCACTTGGCCTGGGCCTCATCCAGGCTCTGGTCGGTGATGGTCATTATCTGCTGCAGAATGTCCCCGATGTCTTGCTTCCCTCGGCCTCCCGGGACCCCCCCGCTACCCCCACCGGAGTCTCCGCCACCAGGAGGCTCACCAGGACCCCCAGGCTCCCCACCGACCAATCCCAGGCCCCCCCGGCCCCCGCCTGGAGGGGGCGGCCCCAGTAGCCGCTCGTCCATAGCTGGGGGGGGCCCTGAGGCCCCCTCCCTGCTCCGCCCCTCCCCCGCCTGGTTACTTCCCCCCCAAACTCGCTGGGGCCGCTGCTCCCTCCGCCCCAACCCCCGCCCGTCTTCCTCACTCCCGGCTCCCCCGGGGTTCACCCCGGCACTGAAGGGAGACCTGGGGTACCAGCTGGGCCCCCCACAGGAGACCCTGGCCCCCGGCGGCGGAGAAAATGGAGCCGGAGAGAGAGAGAGAGGAGGCCCAAGCGGGGGTGTGTGTGAGAGAGGGAGGAGGGAGGAGGGAGAGGGGGGAGCGAGGGAGGGAGGCTGGGGGAGGGGAGACGAGGAGGAAGAGGAGGGGAGAAGAGAGGAGGAACGGGGAGGAGCTGGGGGCGGAGAGAGACACACGGAAACAGAGGAACTGAGACCGAGTGGAGGAGGGGAGAGGGAAGAGGGGACAAGGGGAGGAGACTGGGCCATGGGGAAAATATGGGAAGGCCCCGCTGGACCTCGGTGGCTTGGGAGAGGGGCGTGTTGAGGGCTAGGGGGCCTGCCACCTGGGTTCTGAATTAGGGATCTAGGTGATGTGGACTCTGGCCGCTGGAATGCCTGGGTTCACAGACAGCTCAGTTCATATTTCTTGTTCTAATGAGTCCCCTCCTTGTTCTACTTAATTAAAACCAGGAGAGAGGGGCTGGGGGAGATAATTAGGGAGGTCTCCAGCCGCTGCTTAATGAGCCAGTAATTAACTAGCCAGGGAGGGGAGCTGGCCTCTGGCCAGACTGGGGAGAGAGGTGGCCTCTGGCCTCACCGTCCTACCCTCCTCCATCTCTGCCCCGCCTCACCCCCACCCCAGACACCAGTCTTCAGTCCAGAGGGGAATTACATTTATTCATACAACCAAAATATCGGACAGACTCAGAGCAGCAGTGGGGCGGGAGGTGGGCGGGGTGTGAAAGGTCCATTCACAGCCTGTAGGCCCCTCTGTCTGGCCTGGGGTGGCGATGGTGGGAGTGAGAGAGGGAGAATAGTCTTCAATCTGCCTTGGATGTACCTGCCCCCCTTTCTTACTGGAAAGGAGGGTAAAGCTGTCTCTCAGGTTGTAACCTTGTGAGATTTGCCTTTTCTTGGGAGGTGGAGGCCTGAGCCCTCAGATCCTGCCTGGTAACTTGACTACTGGGGGTGTCCCCACAGCTCAGGACAGCGGCTCCCAGGTACTCCCTGAGATGAGTGCCAGGGATCCTCTTACTGCTTCAAGTGCCCAAGTACTAGGGGAGGGAATTAAATGATCATCCTACCTTGCCTGTTCTCAGGGTGTGAGGACTTTCACCCCCTCCAGTTCTCAGGGAAGGTGATGAGGGTGATGAATATTGAGATTTCTGCTGGATTTTCCAGTCTCTGGTACCCTGCCAAGCAAGGGTTGAGGGCGTGCAATGGGCTGCCCAGCTTTGAGTGAGGAGTGAGGAGGGCTGGTTGGGGGCTCAAGTCTCAGCAGATGTGTGTGGGGGGCTGGGACCTTTGCTCCTCCATTCGACCCCCACCCTGAATTCTCAGCAGCAACTCCAGGAGCTCCTGCCCCCCTGGGGGGAGGGGAGGCTCTGACCGCTGGGCTTCCATCCGCTGGCACTGGAGGAGTGGAGGGAGAGGGAGAGCTTTGGTGAGGGTCTGGGAGGAGGCCCTTCAGAGGAGCCAGAGTTGGTATGGGGGTGCATATAAGAAACCTGTGATGGGGATGGGGTGACTAGGGGCTGGCAATGGGGCAGATGCCTAGGGAGAAAGAGGGGTAGGGCCCAAAAGAAAACAGAAGCCAAGAGATCAGGAGGCCTGGGTAGTGTCTTGGGGGGGGTGTCTCACCTGGTGACTGAGGATGGTGCTGTAGAGCTGTTCTTTGTCCTCAAGAGGCCGGGGCAGGGCAGGGGGTAGGCTTGGGGGGCTCTGTGGGGCATGGAAAGTGGCCCTCTGCTCCTCTAGGCGGTGGGACTGGGCCTTGGCCACCAGGTCCAGAAGGAGCTCAGTCTGCAGGGAGAGCAGGGAGGCCGAGCCGGGCCCCAGGGCTGGGGAGAGGAGGGGGGAGAACTCAGAAAAGTTGGCAGACAGGCGCTGTAGGGGGTAGTGACAAGGTGAGGTGACAAGGGACAGAGCCAAGGGAGTACAATGGGGTGTACCATGAGGAATCTGGAGGAGGTGGGGAGGGGGTCCACAATGCAGTGGGTCTTGGTAATGGGGTCAGGATGTGGGCACCAGGGTTGGGGAGCTCCCTGGGTGGGTGGGGGTACCTGTGTGGCGGGTGCCCGGAGGAGGGGATGGAGGAGCAGATCGCCAAGGCCGAGTGGTGGAGTTCGGAGGGGGCCAGCCTTGCTCATCCTGAGGGGAGTCCTGATGCTAAAAGACATCCATTCCAGTCAAGCGGTTGTGGTTGAAGAGGGTGGGTGGAGAGGGGGCTAGGCCAGTGGCCCATTTCTTTTCTCTGTGTCTCTGTTCTTGCCTCAGTGTGCCCAAGCCTCTGCAACTCCCTTGTGTCCACCTGTGTCACTTCACTAGGTCTCTGCCCCTAGGTCCTCTCACCTCCCTTCTCTCCCAGTGGCAGCCTTCCCCACCGGGTGCTCAGCTCACCTGTTCGCTATCCTCTTCTTCCTGGAGTCTCCTGGCCTCCATCCCCTGAAGGGGAGAAACTGACGGGGGAGGGGTGGCTGGGGCTTGGGAGGAGGGCCAGAACTGGTTCCTGAGCAGAGTAGGGGCTGGAAGGGGTGGGGATGAGCTGGGGGCTGGATGTCTGGGTACTGAGCAGGAAGCTGGCTTCCTAGTTAGCCCCCCCACGGCCCCGCCCATCCCTGTCAACTTCCTCCATTCTCTTTTCCCACTCAAACAGCTCTTTTGAGCTTTCTTGCTCCCCAACAGAGGCTGGGAAAACTCCAGCTACAGGAGCGGAGGGGCTCATGGTGGGGAAGGACTCCTGGCCTGCCCATCTCCAGAGCCACAGTAGCCCCTCAATCCTTGGCTCTGCTCCCTCCACCCCTGCCTCCCCTTCAGCTCTTTCTGTCAACACAGGAACTAGCTACACAGGAAGTGGTTTCACTCCTCAGAATCCCCCTCCCCCCAACCAGGTCCCTTCCCTCCTCAAGACCCTGATGTAGGATTTGGCCTTCCCCATCTTCCCTGAGACTTATTGGGACTGGGAGGGGCATGGTTCCAGTGGGAAGCAGAGGACTCAGACTGTGGGACGTTGAGCTCTCAAATGTATGCCATATACTCTTAGCCCTGGGTCCAACACATAGTAAGTATTCAATAAATATCTGTGGAATAATTATTCCTGTCTTTTGGGTATATACAGTCTATTCAGGGGACAAGATATGCACCAAATAGGAGAGAATGTGCCAGGGTTCACGCTGGCAACTCAGATCAGTGCAGATAAGGGGCAGGGAAAACTTTACTGTGGTCATAAATGAGGGATATAGAAAGGGAAATGGGAAAGGACCACCTTTCTGGCTTGGTCTTTGATCAATGTTCGTTGGGCTGGTTGGCACCAAGTAGGGAGCAGGACAGATAGTAATTTGGGAACTCTCAATGGCCACCAGCCATGTTAGAGGGTTTACAGCTGAGTGACTTGGAGAATGACATGCAATGGAGATCTGCTCCTGTCATTAAATGCTTTGTAGTCTTGGGCAAATAAAGTCTCTGCCTCAGTTGCTGAAAGGGTAAAATAGTGTTTGTATAGCACCTACGTCATAGAGTTGATGTAAGGATTTAAGGTGCATAGTGAATGATCAATAAATGGTAGTGCTTGGCCAGGCTTGGTGCTCAGGCCTATAATCCCAGTACTTTAGGAGGCAGGAGGATCGCTTGAGGCCCATGGTTCAAGACCAGCCTGGGCAACATAGTGAGACCCTGTCTCTACAAAAAATTAAAAACAGGCCGGGCATGGTGGCTCACACCTGTAATCCTAGCACTCTGGGAGGTCGAGGCAGGAGGATCACTCAAGGTCAGGAGTTCAAAACCAGCCTGATAGCAGAAAATTTGGTTCCTTAAAAAAAAAAAAAAAACCAGCCTGAGCAAGAGCGAGACCCTGTCTCTACTAAAAATAGAAAGAAATTGGCCAACTAAAAATATATAGAAAAAAATTAGCCGGGCATGGTGGTGCATGCCTGTAGTCCCAGCTACTTGGGAGACTGAGGCAGAAGGATTGCTTGAACCCAGGAGTTTGAGGTTGCTGTGAGCTAGGCTGATGCCACAGCACTCTAGCCTGGGCAACAGAGTGAGATTCTGTCTCAAAAAACAACAACAGGCGGGGCGAGGTGGCTCACGCCTGTAATCCTAGCACTCTGGGAGGCCAAGGCGGGCGGATTGCTCAAGGTCAGGAGTTCAAAACCAGCCTGAGCAAGAGTGAGACCCCGTCTCTACTATAAATAGAAAGAAATTAATTGACCAACTAATATATATAGAAAGAAAAAAAAATTAGCCGGGCATGGCGGCGCATGCCTGTAGTCCCAGCTACTCAGGAGGCTGAGGCAGGAGGATTGCTGGAGCCCAGGAGTTTGAGGTTGCTGTGAGCTAGGCTGATGCTATGGCACTCACGCTAGCCTGTGCAACAAAGCGAGACTCTGTCTCAAAACAAACAAACAAACAAACAAACAAAAACAACAAATTAGCCGGGTGTGATGGCATGTGACTGTAGTCCTAGCTACTCAGGAGGCTGAGGCAGGAGGATTGCTCAAGGCCCAGGAGTTTGAGGCTGCAGTGAGCTATGATTGTGCCACTGCACTCCAGCGTGGGTGACAGAGTGAGGCCCTTCAAATGCCTCATGCCTCCCTGTCTTAGGCTTAGCAGCATTAAAGAGGTGCCACCATATTGCTCCAAGGTGGACAAAGCTTCTTTAAAATGCTCTCTCCATCTCGATCTACTTGACTTGAGGACTTAGGAGTACTCTAAGTGGCCATAACTAAATGTCTGTGGATGAGGGACAAAGCATATGCATGGTCTACTATGTATATGGGTTCTCCCTGGGCTACCAGAGACTCCTGTTTTCACATAATACCCTAAATTGACACGGGATCCCCAAATGTATTTATTCTTGCTCTTAAACTACACTTACAGCCTTCATCCAAATGCTGTGCCTAGGGCACAAAGTTCTGACTACACTATGCAGTCATAGTGTTTTTTCCCATTCCTCTCCCCAACCCTTCCAAAAAAAGGTAACACTTCAACTCAGCTTTATTATGGGTGACAGATTTGGGGTTCTTAAAGAGACATAGTGGCTAGAAGAGTGGTGCTTCATCCCTGCAGTGGAGTTTCTTTGTGTGAGTCAGAGGGAATGCAAGGAGTCATTAGCAGGAGTGTGTGTGTGTGGGGGGGTAGGGGGAGCTTGGCCACATTTCAGCATCTACACAGCACATAGTTAGGTGCTCAATAAATATTTGTCAGCCGTTTGTGGGCAATAAATGATAGAGGCTCCCTTTGGGAGCCATATTCAGGAAAAAAAGTCTTACATCCTATCTACAGTTCTTGGTTCCAGTTTAGGGGTACTTCTCCCACTCCACTCTGTCCTCCTGCAAACTCTTGCCCTTATTTTCTGAGAGAGGGACTGGGCCTGCCCCATCCCAGTATCCTAATACCTCTTTTTTTTCCCAGAGCTGCAGCTTCTCCATGTGGAAGATGATGCCTGCTCTGGTGGGAATATCCTCATTTTACAAGGGAAACTAAACTCAGGACGTCTCACTTTTGGAGCTCCATCTTAAAAGCTGGAGGGCTTTCCGGAATACCTGTCATTTTAGAATTCGTGTAGCCTTCTATTTTTGACTCTCCCCTTCTAGGTTTAAAGGCGTTTCTTGGTGGGCTGGGGGACCCCAAGCAACTTGAGGAGACCCCCGCTCCGGGGACGGAGTAAGGCACGGAGGCGGGATCGGAATGTTGGCGGTGGGGTCGCAGGCTCCCAAGGCCACCCAATCACAGGGCCAGTCGTCCGCTGAGGCCCTGCCCCCGCGCCCGGCCGCAACTCCGGATCCTCCTGGCATTACTGCTGGGTAGCGTCGAGGCCCGCGTAAGCCCGCAGAGAACGTACGGCCGCGAAGGGGCGGGCCTCCTCCTGCTGCTCCTCCCGATAGGCTCCGGCAATGCGAGTAGGCCGCGCCCCCGCGCGTGGCCCAGCCTACGGACCCGGTCCGGGCTCCCAGACGAGCTCCGCCCGCTCGCGGGCCGGCTCCCGCTGACAGCGTCCGGCAGCGCGGCGCAGCCCCGCCCCCGTGCGGGGGCGCGCTTGCTGACGCGGTGCGTGCGCGCCGCTCGGCTCCCGCCTCGCGGCCCGGCGAGGCTTTGTGACTGGCCTCCGGGGGCCCCGCCCCTTCCAGCAGCGTCAGCAGGTCCCAGTGGTTCCGCAGGCGGGCGACGTCCCCGGGCGCCAGCCCGGCCTGGTCCCGTAGCTCTCGGGCCGCCCCCAGCGCCAGCAGCAGCTGCGCTACCTCCACCGCTCCTTCCCGGGCCGCCAGGAACAGCGGCGTCTGCTCCTGGACGGGAGGAGACAGCCAGGGCCGGGTCAGGGAGCCCGCGCCCACAGGACTGGCCTGTTCGGCCTTCACCTACTTGACCTCCAGCCCCGACCCCTTCAGGGGTTCCCTCACTGTCCGTCTCTGCCGCACCCGGTTTTTTGTCTGGAGCCCGCTGCCGGTTCTCACCCTGCCGTCCTGGGCGTCTTTATCGGACCCAGCCTGGAGAAGGGAGCGGGCGGCTCGGGCGTTGTTCACGGCAGCGGCCCAGTGCAGCGCGGTTTTTCCTGGGGACAACGTGGGAAGTTGTTACCGCGATTGGGGGACAGACGCCTGGGTTCCGGTTTCCCACGGGTTCTGGCCGTGGGGGAAGGGCTACTTGGCCCGCGGGGTCCTGAAAGGCTGGAAGCGTCGCCTGGGCGACCGCCGGCCCTCGGGAAGCGTTGCCCCGGTGACGTCACTGGCGCGCGGGCGGGACAATGGGGCATTGTTCTAGGGTCGGTGGGACCGGGAGACCACCCTCCCCCCACGAGACCTCTGCTCTCCCACAGACACGCTCCTCTATTCCAGTTTCCTGCGGGCTGGCGCAGTGTATGTGTGTCGTTTAGGATGGTGGTAGAGACTCAACGCGCTCCTCACTGCCCCCGCACCGCAGATTTACCACCGTCACAGCAGGGTGGGACGGAATTGTCCCTTCACTCGATCCCTCCGCTGCTCCTATATTATTTTGCACGTCATCTCACCCCATCTCACCTGCTCAACTTCTCTATATCATAACATCACCTCTCCCCCCGCCCCCGCGCACACATACCCCATTTATCTCTGGCCCCCACGTCTGCTCGGGCTGCAATCAGTTCTTCAACCAGGTCCTCCACCGCCAGTCTAGCGGCCAGCATCAAGGGTGTAGTCCCGTCCTCTGTGCGTGCATCCACTGCAGTTTGTCTGCTGCGGAGTAAGAGCTGAGGGCACAGAGATGGCCAGTGACTCCATGGACTGTTAGCTCAGGTCTCTCACACCGAACCCCCTCCCAATCCGTATTTAGCCGCCTTCCGTTTTTCCCTTTCGGGTCCCCAATCTCACATCAGTCTCCTCTTTGTGAAGCCTTAGGGGATGCTTCTGCCCAGCTTGTCAACTCTTGCCCCATCTCTCCCCGTTCCCTTTAGAGACTCTGTGTGCTGACCTGGCAGACCTCCCGAGCGTCAGCAGCCACGGCCGCGTGCAGCGGGGTGCGTCCGGCCCGGTCTGCCTGGTTGGGGTTGGCTCCGGCCTCAAGGAGGCGGCGCGCAGCGGTTGGCCGGGAGAATCGTGCAGCCAGGTGTAGGGGGGTCTCCCCAGTGCCCACTGTGTGAGCCTGGGGACAGGCCCCTTCATCCAGCAGAGGTTCCCAGGGCTCAGGACTTGCCAACCATGCCCCCTGGAAGGTCCTGGGCTCTACTCCCCCACAGCAAACTGCTGACATGAGTGGTGTTACTCCATCTGCGGATGAGACAAGAGTAATGTGTCAATCACAAGGACACAACAAGGGGCGGGGGCGACACAGGGCTCAGGTAGAGGCGAAGCCTGAGGTGTCAGGAAGCCAAGTTCTGGCTCTTGACTTTTTGTGGCTTTAGTAAAGTGACTTTTCTTTAAGCTTCACTTTCCTCATCTGTAAGCCAGTAGGCCTTAATTCTCTTAACACTCCAGGGCAGTGGCTTTCGCAAACTTGAGTCTGGACCAGCATCACTTGGAGGGCTCGTTAAAACACAAATCGCCTAACATCTTGAATTTCTGAGTCGGTAGCTCTGCAGTGGAGCCCCAGAATTTGCATTTCTAACAAATTCTCAGGTGATGCTGATTCTCCTAAGGACTATACTTTGAGAATCACTCTTCTAAGGTGCTAAGTCTAAGATTAGTTCCTCCAGTTCTGGTATTAAAGGACTTTCTGATTCTAAAAGGGTCAAAGGAAGTTTTTTCCATTTTCTTGGTCTGGGTTGACTGATATACCAGGTCCACGAGTGTCCAGGTCAGGGGTCTCCGTCTCAGATTCCTGGGGAGGGGTCAGCATGGCTGTCTGAGCGAGCTCTCCACAGCCACTGCTCAGAGGCCAGAGCTGGCACTTGGAGCAGGAGGCTGTTTCTTCAGCCTTGGGGTAAGAGCAAGGATCAGTGAAGGTGGTCCATTTGTCCTTTCTTCCTCTCCATCACCTCCAGACCATTCTTTTCCCACCCCTTTCACCTGGCCCACCGCTTCTCCCTCCTCAGGGCCTGAGCACATCACAACTCCATCCTCATCAACTTCTGCCTCTGGCTTCAGCGCCCTGGAAGGGGTTGGGTGGGTAGAGGTTACTCGTAGTTATGACCAGCAGAGTCTGCAAGATTTCCAGCAGCCTCTCTACCCCTCTTTCTTCTTCCCCTATCTTTGACTTCTGCAATTGTGTTTCTTATCTCGTGTGCTCATAATTATGTCCATGGAAGAACTCCCTCCCTGAGCCCAGGTTCCTCCTCACTCTCACTTGAGGCCGATGCTATCCTCGCCCAGTGGAGGCCGGCGTCGGCGGGGCGCTGGCTGAGTCCGAGGCCTTCGAGTGAAACCAGGTGGCAGCCACAGGGCCCCATGCTCTCGGCGGCGCCTGACGAGCTGGAGGACGAGAAGAGCCCCGAGGGCCAGGAGAATCACCCCAGCCACAGGGGAGCCCAGCACAGGCCAGGGAAGCCGGTTGGCAGGGGGCACTGCTGGAGAGACAGAGCCACAAAGAGAGGCCATTCCTCATTAGCACGGTGACACATTTGGGCAAGTTCAGTAACCTCTCTTTGCCTCACTTTCCTTATTTGTAAAGTGCGATAATAATACATGTTGAGTATACCTAATGCCAAAATTCAAAATCTAAAATGCTCCAAAATATGAAACTTTTCTAGCACTGACACGATGCTCAAAGGAAATGCTCACTGGAGAATTTAGGATTTCAGATTTCTAGGTATAAGGGAAATATTTCAAAATCTGAAAAAAATCAGAAACCCGAAACCCTTCTGGTCCCAAGCACTTCAGATAAGGGATGCTCAGCCTGTAGTACCTGCCTCATGGGGCTGTTGGGAGGATTAAATGAGATAATAATGTAAAATGCATAGAGTAAGGCGCAGAGTAAGTACGATGTAACAGTTACTGTCTTTTCCTGTACTATGAAGTGTTCCGTGCAGAGAACAGTAGACACTCTTGGTGTGGTGGAGAAGCAAACCAGGACCCGAGGTTGCTGCAGGGCTGTGGCAGAAGCTAGGATAAAGGACTTAGGAAAATAAGAAGACTGCAGAACAGATGGGCCATCAGTAGATTCAGAGAAAGAGTTAAGGAGGTTAAGTCCCTACAAAGAACATTTTAGGTCTCAGCTATCCTGTTTGAGTTGACCTCAGTTGCCTATTGTTGGCATGAGAGCAGACCTGGGAGCAAAGGTCAGGAGAAATGACAGGGGGTTACATACCAGAGCCTGTATGAGGGTGGGCAGCCAGCAGGGGTCCAGGTAATAGGGGCTCCAGGGTCCCCACTGCGGCCATTGCAGCAAGCAAGCGGAGCAGAAGACCAGGGTCCCAGGGACAGTGGGATGCTGGGTGGTCAGGGCCACAGTGGGACAAATCCACACCCATCACCACTACAAACCTGCGGCGGAGGCACATCAGAGACCCATATTGGTCCCTGGCTCCCTTCCTTCTCTCTGCCCTGTTAAAAACACTGGAGTCTGGCCCTCCCCTCTGTCCAGCTTCTTACCCAGCATTGAGGGAGTCCAGGGGCTGTGTTTCAGAGGCTGCTCCCTCCTGATGAGAGGGGTCCCGAGTTCCTCCTAGCTCCTCTTCAGCCCGGGCCCCAGGATAGGGGTACACCATGTCCCTGCCTTCACTGTCCTTCCTCACCCAGAGCCCCACCCTCAGAGTCAGGGACAGTACCCGGGCCAGGGCAAGCAGCTGCTGGTCCAGGGCCTGGGGGCTCAGCACCACCAGCAGGGCCAGGGAGGGCCCCCACTCTGAATCCCCATCTTTAGGCCTGCAGTCACCGCCATCCCAGCCACATTCTGCCGTGTTGCAGCCTTTCTCGCAGTGCCCGTTGTGGAAGTGATCGCGGCAGTACTGGTTATAGGCTGGACTGTGGTGAGGAGAGAGGGACTCAGGACTTCCCAAAAATCTGATTCCCCTTTTCACCTCAGAGAGAGTTCCTGACATTCCATGGCCCCTGAGGCTCTGCTTGCTAAGTGGGGGCACCTTAGTCGAGCCCTGGATGGTCGTCCGGACACCCTATGTCTATTGACATCCTTGTCTCCTAAGACCATCCT